ATGTTAAAGATGGTGCAACACCAAAAGCTTTAAACAAGGTTTTTGAGGTGATTATTTTTTAATTAAGCTGCTATAAGTTAAATATTTTATGAATTTTTTGATAAAATATTTAAATTTTTTAGAATTTTGACCACACACAGATCTTATGAAAAAAATACAATCCAGAAAATTTCAGCTTGATTGACCAATTTGTTTAAAAGTTATGATTGAATTAAAAATGATCAAAATTTTTTTCAATTTTTGACAAACCATAACTTTTTAAATAAAGTTATTTTTAAATAAAAATATATAGACAATCCCCAAAAAAATTTAAAGACCTATACTCTATCTTATGACATGATTGTAGCCTTTTGAGAGTGATGATATTTTTAAAAGGAGAATGTTATTAGACTATTAGCTAGCCTTAGGTCATAGTCTGATAATTAGTCATAGGGATAAGAGTAGTATATTTTTTATTTATCTCTGAATGAATATATTCAGTTTTCTTTTTAATGACATAATGTCTTTATTTGTACTAATAATAATGTCATAATCAATGTTTGATATTTGTTAGTTTCTTTGAGATTTAATATGTTTATGTCTTTTTTAAACTTTTTAGATTAGTACTAAAAATAAAAAAATAGTAAAAAATGACAGAGAAATGTTGTGTGGGGAAAGTTTTAAGTGAAGATTGCAACGTATTAATAAATAAAATAATTGTATTATTGTAGAATGATTGGAAGAATAAAACTAAAAGATATTGTGAACACAGATGTTGAAGTTTTAATTCAAAGAATTGGACACACTTTTGAACTAAATGAGGAGATATGTTTTCACCATGAAAAAGCCTATATTTCAAGATTCTGTTTAAAGTCCACAAGAAAAAAATTATTAAGGGATTGTTGTAAAGTCGATATTTTAACAGCAAGTCAACCTAAACAATGTCCAGGAAAAAAAAGACTCTGTTTCTGTGCGTATAAATAATGTTAAAGTTCATAAACAAAAACGCTTAGTATTAGTTAGTTTAAAAGAACTTCATTTGGAATTTAAGAAGTTATACCCTGAACACAAAGTTCGATTCAGCAAGTTCTGTGAACTAAGGCCAAAGTGATGCCTTACTGTTGATAGTAGTGGAAGCCACTCAGTTAGTGTATGTTCTTACCATCAAAATGCTAAGTTGATGTGCTCTGCTCTTCCTAACAGCCATTTAATATATTACAAAGATTTAATGAAAGTATGTGTTTGTAATATAGATAGTCGAAACTGCATATTTCATCTATGTTCCAACTGTCCTGGTAAAATAAATTTAAAGACTTACTTGGAAAATTTGTTTGAAAAGAATGATTTTGATTTTGATGATCAGATCACATTTAAACAATGGGTGTCAACTGACCGAACTGTACTTATTACAGTCCAAACAAGCATTAGTGAATTTATTGAAACTTTAAGTGAAACTTTGTATGACCTTTGTCACCACCACTTTATCAAAAAAGCACAGTCTTCCTACTTATCAGAGGCAAAACAAAGATTAGACCAATATACCTGCATTATTCTGATGGATTTTGTAGAGGACTATAGTTTTTTTGTACAAGATGCTATACAAGGGTTTTACTGGCAAACCGATCAAGCTACCTTTTTATCAAACACCCATTTGCTGTTTATTACAAAAATGAAAAAGATCACCTTAAATGTGAATGCAACTGTTTAATTTCTGACCATCTTTGTTATGACCAATCAGCAGTCCATTGTTTTCTCACAAAGTTGCTCCCTGTGGTCAAAATCATACTATCCACAGTGAATAAAGTTAAATACTTCAGTGATGGTGCTGCGTCGTAGTATTAATAACTATAAATGTCTAATAAATTTAATTTATCACATTATGGATCACCAAATAAATGCTCTGCATCACTTCTTTGCTATGTCACATGGCAAAAGTCCATGTGATGGAATAGGAGGTACTATAAAAAGAGAAGCAGCAAAAGCTAGTCTATGAGCAGCAATTAAATCAGGTTCTCACACCACAAGATCTGTTTACATAGGCTCAAAAAAACATGTTAACATATGATATCAATAACCATGAAACAACTTTTAATCTTCAGAAATGATATGAAGGGATGTACATAGTTTCGGGAGCAAGAAGCTATCACTGTTTTGTACCAGATGGAGAGAAATTGTTTTTACAAAGAATCTTTAGTGATACTGTCTATGATGCTCATGTGCTAAATGATGTCAATTTGATTTTAAAAAATCCTTCAAATTTTCAACCCGCTAAATATATTGCATGCTTTTACGATGAAGAATGGTACATAGGGCTTGTGGTTGATATTTGTAATGAAAACCAAGATGTTAATGAATTGTCTATATATAGAACCTCAACATTAAAAAGTTTCATAATTTATTTCAACTGTTTACGCTACTTTCTATGCCAGCAAAGTCAAAGTAATTTATCATGATTTTAAAAAAAAGTGATTTTTTAATAGGCTGCTGCATGTGCTAAATTAATTTTAATGCACAATTTTGATTATTCTAACAAGTGGTGACCCAAAGTACACAAAGGTAACAAAAAAAATCCACTTTCTGTAAGTATTAAACTGTAACACGTTAAAGTTCAAAAAAATATTTATAATGTTGCAATATTTAGCAACTTTAAGGTACATTAACTCAAAAACTGTAAAAAATCAGTCAAAAACAACTGCAATAATGGATTATTTGGGTGAAAAACTATTACCCTACAAAATTTCAAGTGATCACTATCTTTATTTAAAAAGCTATGGTTTGTCAAAAATTGAAAAAATCTGCTGTAAGCTCCTGATTTTTCGGATTTTGGTCATTTTTAATTCAATCATAACTTTTGAACAAATTGGTCAATCAAGCTGAAATTTTCTGGATTGTATTTTTTTCATAAAATCTGTGTGTGGTAAAAATTTAAAGCAAATCTAAGATGGTACCCTGGGGAACTTTCAAAAAACTAGGTGATTTGATGGAATAACCCACGTATTATAATTAAATATAAATGTGTATATAACAAAAGCAATTACAATAGTTTTGCAACACAATACAAATACAATAATTTTTTTTGATGTTAATATGGTAGTATAAACATTTTAAATAATCTTTATCAAGTAATAAAACAATTAAAAAACAATCGTTGAAAAATAACATTGGTTTTGTATGTGCATAAGCCAATATTTAAGGAAATGAAAAGGTAAATAAAAATGCAAAGGAAAGTATAAGGAAATGAAAAGGTAAATAAAAATTAAATTATTCTAATTATCCAGGCTTGGTTAGGAAGCGGGAGCAATAATTTAGTTGCGTAAAGCTGGCCAGATTTTTTAGTCGTTTTGAGAACATTTCAAAAAGCAAAAAAAATTGCGCTAAAGATTAATTGGACCAATAAGAGACAATTACAAAAAAAAAAAAAAAATTAAGAAAATAAAATATCTTTTAACGTGAAAAAACTTAAAGCAAAATGAATTACGTTTAGAACAAATATTTTCGAAAAACATCGCTCTTTTATAATTTTTTAATAAAATTAAGTGATGTTTTTTATATAAAGTAACATCTTACAATTGTTTAAAAAGGAAACAAATTTTTTTTATTTAACAAAGTTTTCAAGTTTTAGTTTTATCTGATATAAATTATTTTATAAATAAAAAAATTTTATGTTTCGCGTAGTTTGAAAAGTTTAACATATTTGAAACAATTCTTCTTAGTAAGATAAACAAGTTAAATAATTGTTATTTAATTAAAAACAAATTAAATATTTGAAACAATTCTTCTTAGTAAGATAAACAAATTAAATAATTGTTATTTAATTAAAAATAAGTTAAATATTTGAAACAATTCTTCTTAGTAAGATAAACAAATTAAATAATTGTTATTTAATTAAAAACAAATTAAATATTTGAAACAATTCTTCTTAGTAAGATAAACAAATTAAATAATTGTTATTTAATTAAAAATAAACTAAATATTTGAAACAATTCTTCTTAGTAAGATAAACAAATTAAATAATTGTTATTTGATTAAAAACAAATTAAATATTTGAAACAATTCTTCTTAGTAAGATAAACAAATTAAATAATTGAATTAGTATAGAAATTAAATTAACTAAATAGAAATCAACTAAAAAGGTTAAAAATACTTTATAATGAGGAAGCCAAACTACTTCACAATATCGCTGATGATGTTTAGTGAGTGGGCTTTTTAATTTTGATTAGTATTTAAAGTAGAAAAAAGTATAACGACTTTTTAAGAATGGCAACTTAAGCAAAAATAATTAGAGTTAGTAAACCAATATCTAAAAACTTTTCTTTATATCTAATAACTTGCTATATATATTTGTGTTCTGTCATAACCTCAGGCGCGGTGGTTGTTCATCTGCGTTTGTTTGTTTGTGTTTAGTAACCATAAACTTCTTATATGTTTGTTACATAATTAGTTTTATTAACTTTAATGATTATTAATAACTTCATTGAAAACGTAATTATTTTTCTAAGTCTTTATTTACAAATTAAATCATAAAAATTGCTTTAAAAGATTACATTACAATAAAAAACAGATACACAAAATTAGACTTACATAAAAAATACATACTTTTTATATAAAAAATAAGAATATACTAATAAAATCTATTATTTAAAATAAACTTTCAAAATTTTGACAATTTAAATAATATATATTTAAAACATTCATTTTTTTAAACAAATAATAATAGTTTATTTACGATTTATTTAAGATTTACGGCTTTGCAGATGTGGCTTCGAGAATGAGCCATAGTATTGATAATATATTCTGAAAACAATTTATGCTAGAAATCTCAAAATGTAACAAATCGTGAATAATACAATTTCTAAAACATTTCAACAGAATACTCTAGAACTTTATTTCGCTTAGTCAGCGTATTTTTTGAACCAATAGAATTAGATTTTTCATTAATTTATCAGGTTTTTAGTGTTCGCAAATATTCTTTTTATTCTTCCGCACCAAGAAAACATTCAAGTTTTTTATGTTTCCATGTATGTCTGTAAAACAAAAATTTTTTGTTTCGTACATAAACTTTTCTTAAAATGACTAAAAAACCTGGCCAGTTTAACTAAATATAATTTCCGTGGTCAGTATTCGACAGCGATCGCTCCCGCTTCCCGACACAAGCCTGATTATCAGTATCAATCTTGATTTGTTTTTATTTCCCTTTTATCAAAAACAATCCACGTAATGATCTTGATGCATTTGGGGAATATAGTTTTGGCATAATGCTGTGTTTTCACTAACCTAATGTCATATTAGTTGCAGGGGAATAAGTCTGTTACATATTTAATTTATTTGTTCGATTTCATTGTTGCTTGTTGTCCTGTTCCATTATAGCCATCCTTAAAACACATTTGATACTTGTCACCATCTTCTGAAATAAAAGATTATTAAATTATATTTAAAAATATTGATAATTTTTTTATTGGTCGGTGCTTAAAACATATAATAGTATTTAAAGCATATAATATTTCCAAAAAATGCATATTATGCCTACAAGAAAAATTTGAAATAATTACACATGCGAACCAATAATTTTTATTAAATAAAAAATCGGAATTGATTTCTAAATGCAGGCATAAAAATAATTTTCTCCTAAAAAACTATAAAAACAAGTGGACTCAATAAAATATGTATATGTATATATATGTATATATATATATATATGTGCAGTGGTGTACACTGGATTTTTAGATGTTTGAGTTTTGACAGTTACACGCATTGTGCAAGCTCCAAACTTTTGTATGTTCATACTTATGTCAAATGAGAATGTTTTGCAAAGAGTTGTGGTGATTGGAGCTTGGGGACAAAAAACCCTAATTTTTGGGCCCACCCAGCCCTTAACGTGGGAGCAACAAGTTGATAAAATGATTTCTTTAGTATTTTTATCTAAGTTTATATTCATCAACAAATTTCAAATTTGATACCACAACCTCTTCATTTTTAGTTTTTATGACCCTACAAAGTTTACAGCCCCCTCAAATTGAGGGGGATTAAAACTTTATATGGTCATAATTTTCGAAAAAAAAGAAATTATTGGATGAAATTTGAAATTTGTTGATGAATATAAACTTAGATAAAAATACTAAAGAAATTATTTTATCAACTTGTTGCTCCCACATTAAGGGCTGGGTGGGCCCAATTGGGTTTTTTTTTGCTCCCTAGTTAAGGGCTGAGTGGGCCCATTGGGGTTTTTTAGTCCCCAAGTTTTTATCACCGCAACTCTTTGCAAAACATTCTCATTTGACATAAGCATGAACATACAAAAGTTTAGAGCTTGCACAATACCTGTAAAGTGTCAAAACTCAAACTTCTAAAAATCCAGTGCACACCACTGATGTGTGTGTATATATATATATATATATATATATATATATATATATATATATATATATATATATATATATATATATATATATATATATATATATATATATATATATATATATATATATATATATATATATTTAATAATAATAATAATAATAATAGTAAAAAATGTTTACTTGTTTGTATATATATATATATATAATATATTTTTATATTTATAGCAATATTCAGATGAAGAAAAAAATAATGTTGATTTTTTGAGCAGATTTACATATATATGCTTCGGAACAAACATTGTCGAAGTGTCTTTTATCACTTTTGATTTTATGACAAAAGAATTAAAACAGGTAATTATTTTTATGGAAACAATAATAATGGTAATATGTTAAGTTTAAAACTTTTTTTGGTAGCGCTTTTATGATTGCTATGTTTCTTAAAGTACCACTTTGGCAATATAGCTAAAACAAACATGGCGAGCCATGTGAGCTGTTTCGCTAAACAGCTTCTTATGACAGCTTTTGGTTTTTGTACCAGCTATATGTTTATTCAGGGTGGCCACTGGTCATGGAAATCATTTAAATGTCATAGAATTTTATTTGGTCATGGAAAAAGTCATGGAATTCCTAAATTTTCATTGAATGTCATGGAAAATTCACGGAACTTTTTAAAATTATCTTTATTTTTTTCTATTTGCGATGTTTTTAGGATGCAAAGAAAAGTACTAGTATGTCTAGTCTAAGTCCTTTTTGAAAAAAATATTTTTGCAGAGTAAGTTATCGGAGAAGTAAAAGAGAGTTTTTAAAAAAAAAAAAATGATTTCAATACTTTCTACCAATTAGTTTTTGGTTTGCATGTTTTATAATGATCAAGTTGCAAATGCTTAGTGCATGACAAGTACTGAATATTTTCCTCTAGTGATTTATCATACAAGTTTATGAAGAGTCATGGAAAAGTCATGGAATTTCATTTTCAAATTTGAGTGGCAACCCTGTATATCTGCAATTTAAACTTTAAATTTTAACTTAGGCTGTAAATTATAATTGTAACTTATAACTTAGAAGAGTCATGGAAAAGTCATAGAAAAGTCATGGAACTTCACTTTCAAATTTGAGTGGCAACCTTTTTATTTCTGTAAAAATTGCTTATTAAACACAAAATTTGGTTTTATACTTGTTACAAGCAAATGTTTGTAATGTTAATGTTGCATTAATATACACATAACAAGTGTCGTTTATTGCGCAGTGAAAAAATTCTTTAGACCTAAAATTTTTTTTTTGCAAACACCATGTTTTTTAAAAAACATTGCAATTTATTATCCAATTAATTTTTTTTTTTTTTTTAAATAAGACTGTGTTTTTCATTTAAGTTACAATGATAGTTATACTTTTTAGAAAAAAATTTATAGTTTTGCGAGAGCTGTAAATTGCTCCTAAAAACTGTTTTGGGCTTCCTGCCCACACTCCCCTAAAACCATTTTTAGGAGAGCTAAAGCCCTCGCTTCCCGCTGAGGCCTGTGCTATATATGATAATATTAAAGAATTGCTATGGTAACATACAACTATATTTGGTAGTATACGAGCTATATTTGGTAATATACTAGCTACATATGGTAATTCACTACCTATATATGATAATATACAAGTTATATATGGTTATATACTAGCTGTTTATGGTAATATATGAGCTATATATGGTAATATATTTCAAATAGTTTAAAGTAGTAGCAATTCACAATTTGTTAATTAAGTTGTAGATATGAAATACTCATCTTTCTCTAAATCTCAAAACTCAAAAATATACAGTTGTAATCATCAAAAAAAAAAAAAAAAATTAGAAATCATTACACAGACAGAAATTATTCTTAGAGGTTGTAAATAAAAAATATATTAGTTATTTTTAGAAATCAGTAATATTAGTTTAGATATTTTTAGAAATCAAAATAAAATAATGGTTTAATTTAAAATATAAAGTTTTAGATTTAATATGTTTAAAGAGTTTTATAAGTTTTTCTACAATTTTTATATAAATAATATGCTTATTTTTATTTGTATTATGTATATTACAAATAAAAATTGTTAGGCATGTAATATGTTTTATGCAAAACATACAAGTTTAGTTTAAGTTCTAAGTGAAAACAATGAAAGGTATTTGTTTGTTGACATTAGGTTATGATACAAGCCTTAGCAGAAATTATTGAGCAAATGTAATGGAGAAGTTAAAGAAATTGTGATCAATCAAAATAGATCAATTGTGATCAATCAAAATAGATCAATTGTGATCAATCAAAATTGATCAATTGTGATCAATCAAAATAGATCAATTGTGATCAATCAAAATAGATCAATTGTGATCAATCAAAATAGATCAATTGTGATCAATCAACTATAAATTCAAACAACAAAGGAGTTCTGCATTCTCATTAAAGAATCTTGAAGGTTATTGTAAAGATGCAAGCATTGATATTGGAAATTTAAATATTCTAAGTTGAGCAAAGGTTCCTCATGAACCATATCAGATTTTAGGTTTTGTATATATATATGGGTAAAGCAAATTTTTGAAAATTCAGATCAATATTTTATAAGGTTCTTGAGAAAACACTGTTTATGTAGTGGGCTTTTTTGCATGAAATTTCACTCTATAAGAAAAAAGGTTTTTTTCATCATTTTTAACAGCTAATAACTTTTGAACAAGTTGGTTTTATACTTCAATTATTTTAAGATAGCAAGTATGCTATGGATACTTTTGAACAAAAAAATTAAAATCTTGCATCTTAGCTATTTCTATAATGGCAAGCTAAAATATTTTTGTTTTGGAATTGAAATTTTTTGTAAAACTAGTTCAAAAATTATTTCAAATCAAATTGCCTGTTGATCTACACGTGGTGGATAATTATTAAATAAAAATTAGTTGATTAAAGAGTATTACAGGTCATCAAAATGAGAATTTTTTTTTTAATTGACCCCCAATGCAAAGCATCTGCTATATAAGGTTGCTTTTTTTTTCCATAGAATTTCTTATATGCATCAATCAAAAAGTGTTAATTAACAAAAACAAAAAAAAATTATGGGCACTTATTTATAATCCCAATAGATATTCTGTAAAAGTCAGTTAAATTTTCTGTAAAATTTTTTTTGTTTTGAAAAAGTATTTTTTTCTTGAATTTTATGAAAAAATTTATTTTTCATGATTGTCTTCTAACACTATGTCAATTTAAAAAATACTAAAAAACCAAATAAATTGTTGTTTTTTAGAACTTATTAATGAGTAGTATGTCTGAGCTCACTCCTCATTGTATTGGTAAAGCGTTAAATGAACTTTTAAGTATAACAAGTCTAAAAAAAGTAAATGTTATCAAGAACTGCCTAAATTAAACCAAATGCTTCTTTCTTTGAAAAGCAAAGTCCCATAGATTTTCCCATAGAAAGTTTACTTCTTGAGGTACAAGAATGAACATCAAAGGTGTTGTAATCATTTGAATAAGCAAAAAAAAGTGAAATACTCTTAGAGTTATCTTTCTGAAGTTTTAATACTTGATCAAACACTAGTTGCAGTATAACAATCATGCAAACATTATGATTAAAAAAAAAAATGAACTCCAAGAAAAATTTATGTTGGAATAACATTAAATGAAGATCTTAAGTATTGCAAGTTTTAGATGCTCATCTCTCAAACTTGTTTCAATAAAAGAAAGAATATATATATGAATATAAAAAAGATAGAATATACATATGGAAAGCGTAACTGAAGAGGCTGTTGCCAATGTGTTAGAAGTAAAAATAGCTGCAGGTGAAATTCAAACAAATGTTTGAAAAAAACAAAGGTTAAGACGATATTAAGACCCAAAAAATATTTGATAAAACATAGCTGGGGCCGGGGTAGGTGCTGGGTTTTTGACCGGGGCTGCATAAACATTTATACATCCTAAAGTTTTTTTTTTATTCAAAACTTATGCTATGTTTTTTATGATTCATCTTATGATTGACATCATCGTAATCATCATTACCATTATGATTATGATCATGATTATCTTTGTCATGATCATGATTGTCATCATGATTGTCTTCATGATTGTCATCATGATTGTCTTCTTTTTTGGCAAATACTACACCATATAAATACTAAATTTTATATAAATATGTAAGGATATTTATAATGTAAATAAATATATAAGGATATACAATATGTATGCATAAAATGCATCTCTAAAGCTTTTATTCCTTCTGAAATAACAGTTTAAAAGCTTTTATTCCTTTTCTTAAATTTTAAGTCAAGTCTCACTCTATTCCTTATTCATTATTTTCACTATCAGTTGATTTATTAAACTTTAATCATTTTTTTTTATCTTTTTCACAAGCATATCTCTCTTAAGGACAAATTTCTTTTTCTTATTCCAAGAAGCCAATGTAAAAAGGTCCTCTCTGATGTTACGTTATTTTTAGTTTACTTAATCTTATATCTCAGATGTTCGACTTTTAGTTAGTCTTCAACAACATCATTAACTAAAGTATATCTTATCTCAGATGTTCCGTTCGACTTTTAGTTAGTCTTCAACAACATCATTAACTAAAGTAAGTCTAACATTTACTCTTACTAATTATATAATATTTAATAGTATTCAATTTTTAAAAAGTGCTGAATAAGTGGTTTCAATTTTTCAAAACACTTTGAACTCTCCAACTATCCTACAATTAGTCTTCACTCTGTTATTAGTTTTTTTATATAAAGGTTTTGAGATAAATTATTATTTTTTACTAACTGCAGTAATAAAGTTATTTTTGAAGGCTAACACTCTTCTTTATTTTAAGTAACATTAAGGGTACCACAAGGTATCTTATAGAACCCTTAAATCTTTGCTCCTGTATTGTTTCTTATCTACAATATCAATCTTCATGAAAATTTAACATCTAAAGTGGCTCTATTAGCTAACGACTCAACTTTATACTCTTGTCTTATCAAAAAATCTTTACTTTTTGATTGCTTAGAACAAGCAGCTGATTTTTAACCTGATCTCTCTTCTGTAACAGCCTAAGACTTTCTGTCGCTTATTGATTTAAATTCTGGACTCAAAATCTGCTATTTTTGTTAGACAACAAAACTAATTTATTTACTGCAAAAAAGTATTGCAATAATGTTGGTATATATCCTATATCGTTGCAATAATTTTGGTATATATCGTATGTTGGTGTATATCCTATATGCAATAATGTTGGCATATATCCTATGTTGGTATATATCCTATATCGATGAATAACAGACAAAGTCTAAAGCTCAGACAAAGTCTAAAGCACATTGTAATTGTAATAATAATAAATTAGACCTGCATTATCTGCCAAGCTTGAGCCACTCATCCATTGTTGTAAGGTTGCATTTCTTTTTTCTACAAATACAATCATGGTCAATGCTCAAACAAGCTATCCTCTCTATTTAGATAAACCAAAACTTATTCTTGCTTATTTCTTGTGTCTGTCCCTTCATGCTATAAAAACTTTTATTAATCCGTTTTTTTCCTTTGCGCGTCAAAAAAACTTATAACTAGTAGTCATCTTCATATTTTTTTTTTTATAAACATCCTACAAATTTTCTTCAGTTAACCATTTCCTAGTATTTTTAGTTATTCTCTATTTTAAAATTACTCATAATAGTGGTTGCTTGCAATCTTGTTGGAAGTAAATTAGAGTTTAAAAATATATAAATATATGCCAGTACTTAATAAATAGTAAATGTAAGCATAAAATTATAATATATAAAGTATTATAAATTTTCCTAGTACTGGTTATTGACCCCTGCTAAATCTTATAATTTTGCTGGGGCTGGGGCCGCGTTTGCAAAAAGTCTAATTTTCAGCTGGGTCCCTGGTCACTTACTATTCAGCACCCTTTAATTATTAGTTATTAAACTACTTAACAGATTTTTGTAATTTTTTGACACAATGAAGCTAATTGAATTATTTTTTCAATAATTTTTTACACTTTTTATGGGATGCTTAATAAAAACTGAATATCTTTGTGAGTATTTAACATCGTCTGCTGGATCTTGCTTTTAGTTATTTTTTTTGTGGCGGCTATCCAATTTTTGTTAAAAACTTTTTTATTTGTAGCTAATTTTTTGCTTTTTAATAAGATTTCTTTTATGGATAATCCCATTTTGTTTATACCATTCTA